GCTGCGATTGGTCGCGCCGGAGGGAGGGGCGATGAAGCCCCGCCCCGCGCTCTATTTCCCGCCCCGCGCTCTATTTTCCGCCCCGCGCTCCATTTCCCGGGCTCTACCTAAAGCTCCGCCTAGCAAAACTCCGCTCCCCGCTTGCTCGCCTCTTACTTCTAGGAGAGCGCGCCCGCAGCCCTTCCTACAGCCCAGATTTTCCCCTTTCTCCCTCAGAACACCTCCTCGGCGCTGGGGAGATGTCCTTTTGGGGCGCAAGGGGGGGAACAGCGTAAGGAAAGCATGGGGAGCCCCTGGGGGTGCTGCATATGGGTGTTGAGCACCAGCAATCGTCGTCCGTCTGTCTGTCTGTCCAGAGCCTGGCTCGCTAGGGAATGGGAGTCCCCTGCTCCAAGGAGTGCCCCAGCGCTCACCGAGCCCCCGGCTGCTGGCTGGCACGGCGTGGGGGAGAGAAGCCAACGTAGGGGACCCGACGCAGGGATCCAGGGTGCTGCCTCGTCCCCGCAGCCCCGGGAGAAGGCGAGGGAGCCCCGACAAGGCGGCTGCATCCTCGTGCTCAAGCCAGCACCAATCCGACCCGCTGCTCCGACACCAGGGAGCCCCGCAGGGCAAGGATGAGGCCAGAGCCCGCAGCTGTACACAACAGCGGGGTTTATTCCTACAGCACCCTCGGAAAACAACACGCGGAGTTTCTGCGGCCGGAGCGGCTTGTTCTGCTCTCAGGTGCCAGGCGCAGGGCACCCCCCCAGCCCCCCTCCCCGACACAGCGCACACCTGGCAACACCATCACCCACCTGGAACTTCTTGCAGATCTTGAAGGCGTGGAGCTGCCGCTGCCTGGCGGTCTCCGGGAGCTGCTTCAGGGTGCTCTGGTTCATCAGGAGGGCACTGTTGTCTGGCAAGGGCTGCAAGGAGAGCGCACGGCACGCGTCAGCACCATCTGGACCACCGCTGCCACCTCGGTGCCACGCAGTCCTCCCTCTGCTCCCACTGGGGATGGGGACAGCTGGGCAGGGGAGACGCCCTGGGCGCAAACCCAGCCCTCTCGACGGGACACGCGGGCTCACCAGGGACTTGTCGAGGACGCAGAACATGTAGATGTCGTGGAGCAGGATGTGCGAGGGGTTCTTGGGGTTGAAGGCGATGTGGGTGATTGGGGAGTCCCTCTCCAGCCAGACCTTGTGCAGCCCGCAGTTCTGCACCATGCGGCTCCAGGCCGTGTACTGCTTCTCGGGGATGCTGAACTCGAACAGCTTCAGAGGCAGGAGAGGGGAGAGGGGGTGGTTTTGGGAGGTCTGTGCCTCCCCGGCATCGCCCCCGCTCCGGCCAGGCCGTGTGAGGACAGGCTCCTGCCGGGGACGGCAGACAGCAAATGCCAGCAGGTCCCTGTGCCTGCCCGGAGCCAGGGCTCTCCTGTGGAGCAGTGCATCCAGAAAGCCCCAAGGCCAGGGGGAGAGCCACAGGGAAGAGGCTGGGGACACGAGGGCTGTGACCTGGATTGCTCCTACCTGCTGGTCCGAGTAGGCGATAACGAGGTTGTTGGTGACGGGGTGGATGGCGAGGGCCGTCACCGCGCAGCTGTACATGGGCACCATGCAGTGATGCTGGAAGGCAGGAGGACAGCATGCTGACGGGAGCAACCAGGGCCACTCTGACCTGACCCCCGCCTACACCCCCAGCCCCAGCCCTGCTCCGGGGACGCAGCGATCACTTCCAGGGAGGGGTGCCACACGCTGAGCCCACCCTCACCTGGCCCCCCAAGGCAGCAGGGGTCATTCCTGCGGCACCTGCCCCTACCTTAAAGCATTTCAGGTTGTAGGTGTGGATTGCCCAGGTCCCGCCGACTGCGGCCAGACACGGC